AAGACTCTCGTCGTCATCGGCACACAAACACTCGCTCTCGACGTCGACATTGCTCGAAAGTCGAATCAACAAAGATTCGAAGCGAAGAAATTTCTCGAGCGATCTCGACGACCGCACGAGTTAACGCTCTAATTCTGAACAATTATCTTACCTTATCTTATTATTATCTTATCTTTACTTTTTCTTTAATTATTAATTTTTTTATTGTCCCGCACTTAAAAATTATGTACAAAGATTTATTCCATCGGTTCCAAAAACATATCTGCATTGCCAAGGCGTTTGACTCTCTCCTATCTCTGAAACAAAATAGTTACGAAGGGTATTCCTTTGTGCATCAGCAGTATGATTATAATTATTGCTTCCTAAGCGTCCAATGTTTGTAAATGATTGACTTTGTGATGGAAATTGTTTCCAGACCGCATCCAGAATTTGGCCTTCTATTTCTCTACTAATGTAGTTAGGAGGGCAATATCGTTTTCTATTAGGTGCAATTTTATTTTCTTCACTTAATATAAAATTATGCAAGCAAACTATAGCCATAATCATAAAATCCACATTGTTAGGATCAGCACAGATTGTAGTCAATAAAATCCGCCATTTTGTAACTAAAATACCGAAGGTATCTTCAATAGTGTTTCTAGCTCGAGAAAGTCTATAGTTAAATATGCGTTCTCTGTCTTGTAGCTGTGTTCTGCTATATGGTTTCATGAGATTCGGCAGCAGTGGAAATATTTCGTCACCAATCAGAACAAAATTACTTTTTATTCTTGTACCAGGAAGTTCCTTAGGAGGAGGCAAATTAAGATTCCCATTTTTCAGAATCGATCCGAGATCAGAGTTTGCCCAAACTCCACTATCGCTAATAGAACCTTCGTATATAATAACATATTTACAAATTGTATTAATACCTTAAGTGCAGCAACATTCTGTTTATATTGTTTACATACCATATTGATCAATATCTATCCATGTAAAACAATATTGTGCATCACACACTGCTAAAAGGACTATGCTGAAGTATTTCTTATAATTGAAATATTTAGATCCTGAATTAGCGGGAGCTTTGATACGTATGTGCTTCCCATCAATAGCCCCAAAACAATTGGAAAACTGCCATATTTCAAAGAAGTCTTTAGCAATTTTGGCCCATTCTTCCTCTATTGGTGGAGATAAATATTTAGGTTGCAATACCTTCACAATGGCATGACATGTATCATTTATAACTTTGTGAACTTTAGATCTTCCAATGCGAAACTCCCAATGCTTGGATACTCTGCTATCCCCATGTGCTAAATAACTAATAATGTATGTAATTATTAAATAAAGAAAATACAGAATTTGGAGATAAAGAAAAATACGTATTAAAAACAAAATGCACTTACGATAGGATTAATGCTAGTTTTAATTCAGGATCTAAAGGTTTTCGTCTACCTCGGAGGACTCTTTTTAATAATAAGGGACGTATCATATTCAACAAACAATCAAAACTACGTGGAGATATTCTCGTGTAAATATAGAACTCTTCATAATCAGTATTTTTTAGTTCACGAAATAAGGTTAGATGAAACTCTCTAGTATTACGAGATCGATTAACAGGCCGAATCCACCATCTGCGGTATCGTTTTTGTCGAAACTTGATTATTAAACATAATTGTATTATTAATACTGCAACACACCCAATAATTAATTCATTCTCCATGACGCAAAGCGATACATATAATTTCGCGATTAAGACATTACGATCTGCATTACGATTAATGTAGACAGACATTATTACGATACCCTTTTTCCTTACGACTACGATCGCTTACGATCGCAGCGTTACGATAGATGTAGCTAAGGCTTAATAAACACTAAGTTCATCTATTAGTTTTGCTGTGAGCTTTCCTTTGCCGCCCAGTCCTTTAGTATCTTTTTTCAGTTTTTTCTCAGTCGTGCTCCCATTCTTTTCTGGACATGGCCAACGCATTCTTTTTTTTCGACAATACAATTTTCGCCGTAAGGGTTACATTCTGTTATCCCTTTGAAAGTTTTACAATCGCCGTCACCGACATAGGAGGTATATTTCACGCCGTGTAATTTCTCCGATCTCATGAACATTTCTTTAGCCACGTCCACCTCCATTTTTCCAGCGCTACCAACGTGATTCGCAGTGCACTTATTTTTGTGTGTTTTCATCCATTCATCGAAGTCGTCAGCGTGTGTCTTCCAGTATTCGCACTGCTTACAATACGCGCATTTTACTAGGAGATCGAGGACTTTTCCTGTATAATGTCCGATCAAAGTCGTTACGCCTTGCAACGATGAATAACCCCGCTTACGCCAAGTTCCGTCGCCAGAAACAGTTAATCCTCTTGTTGGTTTGTCAGCATTTTCGGCACTTTTCGTCAAATTTTTTTCTTCGGCAGCAGCAGCAGAAAACAGTACATTGGCAACGGCTTGCGATGCAGTATGAACACTGTCGACGATATCATAATAAACTTTTTTATTGAAGATTTTCGGGAGATCCATTATACCGCAAAACTTTCGTATACCTTCGTAAGCGACACCAATGATTCTCATTGCAAAAACGATGCGCCTGTTGATTTCGTAAGCATTGTTTATAAGTGGGCAGGAGTTTATGTAGCGAGGTTCACAATTACTGCATTTAATGTCTAATTTGAATCCAAGTCCACGGATACTACTTTCCGAAAAAGTCACATTTCCACCGCACGTTTTGCACATGATCATTTCACTCAGCGTTTGAAACAAGAATAAAAATTTAATCAAACGGTATCCATAGCCACTATTAATTTCCACTTCCACCGATTTCGTTCTTAATTTTTTCGCGGAAGAACTTGTCGATTCCGTTTCATTCTCCATCGTATGGCGATTTGGTGGCGGCGGTCTTTTCCTACATCGTGAAGGTCGTCCGGGAGTTTCGCGTGAACCCTTTCGGTCGGAAGAAGCAGGCTTCATTTTGAAAAAAGTATAAAAACTATACGTTAGCCACGCGGGAAACGCCGAAACGATCACAGCTGTTCGACACACTGGCCCTTAAAATTACGCACTACCGGCGTCCTTACTGTTGAAATCGCTTCTAACTGACTATAAAATATACCTAGTGACATCTGTTGGTCGACTTGGAGTATTAGAAATGTTAGAAATTGAATTGCAAGTCACTACGCTGTACCCGCCGAACAGCTAGGAATTTGCCGCAGGTACGCGTTTCGGAGCGCTTCGGTAAAAGGTCGAAATTTCAATGAAAAACAATTTAGCCGGCTATAACACATAATGTACCTTATTTTAGAGGGTTCAAAGTATGTTTTAAGTCAATAAACAAAAAATTGATTTTTTGAAAATTTTACAGTAGACTTCCCCCTGCAGAGTAGCTTGTTCAATTAAATCACGCTCCATGTTGTCACTTGTGCTGTTAGATTGACTAATAGCGCGGTGCACCTAAATCTTGTTATTTTTATATCATTTACTTGGTCACGTGACATTACATTGATGATCACCGCTCGAACATGTTGTGACATGTCGTATCATGTCCTTGAAAAATTCCTTAAATGACGCTAACAAAGCAGATATACTTTGATGAAATTGCATTGTTGCAGGTGTTGTATCACATTACATTGATGATGATGTCACCGCAAAATATGTCCTTGAAAAAATTTCTTATATTACGCTGACATAGCAGTTGTATATTTGCAAATGTTACATTTTTGCAAGATGTTAAATTGATAATGTCATCCCCGAATATGTCCTTGAAAAAATTTCTTATATTACGCTGACAAACCAGTTATATATATTTGCAAATGTTGCATTTTACTGTATTAGATTACACTGATGTCATCACCGGATGCGTCTTTTATTGTAAGGAGTGCACTTTTGCACGTGTTAAAATGATGATGTCATCCCCGAATATGTCCTTGAAAAAATTTCTTATATTACGCTGACAAAGCAGTTATATATATTTGCAAATGTTGCATTTTACTGTATTAGATTACATTGATGTCAACACCGGATGCGTCTTTTATTGTAAGGGGTGCACTTTTGCACGTGTTAAAATGATGATGTCATCGCGAAATATGTTGCGACATGTTTTCGCAAACATTGCATTTTTTACTATTGTTGAGTGGGGAACAAAAAATATAAATACTGATGGGGATCGCGCAAAGTCAGTCTGTGTAAAATGGTTAACCATAAATGTCTATCGACCGAGCAATTGGTTCGCAACCGAGAACTTGGATTCCGGAATGTGTTAACACGTAATACTACTTAGTGTCCGGTTTGTTCGAGGAAACAAATGGGTGATATTGAATATATCGATGGTATAGTATGGTCCTCGTTTTCAATATGTCGGGACTGTGCACTGGATTTCCTCATTTACAAAGATGCTGGTAACGGTAAACAAAGGTTTTCGGATGTAGTCAGTACCGTTACATAGAGGGGATAAGGTTTGAAAGCTGCTTGGAAGGTTCTGTAAATATTTCATTTGTATCTGCTTGTGAAAAAGTTTTCTCTATAGATGACTTATTCGTTTATTTTTTCATTACAGCGCGTCGTCATATATAATTTTTGGAGGCTGACAACATTATAGTTATATTCGGAGGAGAATTAAATAATAAAAATACATATACATAACAAAACTTCGTGGCTTATTTCGAGCTAACAATATTTTATTACAATTTCAAATAAATTACATACGTTTCAGCTTACCAAGCCTTCTTCAGTGTAAATCTATAATCTGTACTTAATATCAAAATATATTGTCAACATTGTCGTCAAAATTTCGTCAATTTAAAATTCGATAAACCCATTTTTCGCTTAAATTGAGCTAAGAAGAACAGTCATTCAAACTATTAGTAGTCTTCGCGTTTTTTCCTTCTTTAGTTTCGCGCTTTCTAACCTCTCAGTAATCCTACGTAATATCGTGAAGATCGAGGATCCAGTTCATCGCAATGATTCCATTCGCAACTCCCAATCTCTCGGTAATCATAAATTTATCGTGGAAGTCGAATGTTCAGTTAATCACAAAATCTTCAGTTACTTTGAGAGCTCATTTTCAAGAGTATTCTATGATATTCTGTGATTATTTTATATTAAAACATTTTTCTTGTAGTTAACCGACAATAAAATTTCAAAATTAATAGTGAGATAAAAATGTAAAAACTCACGCCCATGTATATAAAATACTTTTCCTTGAAAAAACCATCAAATTCCGTTACAGAACATTAAACCAAAAGAAGTAGATGTTTCCTTTACAGAATCCAACGAAAGAATGTGTCCGTAAAGTCAGTAAAATTATTATTAGCTCTCAAAGCACCGACGACCCTGACTATAAACATTATAATTGTTTGTCTCGAATGTCGTGAAAAATATTTAGATAAGATTTGTCTAATAATTCGGTATCTTTCATCAAATTTAGTCCATTATTTTGTTCTTTGATGTGGATCATCTCAGATACATTTCTTTTTTTATAGTTCTTTTCAAAATCTAAGATCTTAACTTCATTCCATTTAAATTCATGTTTAGTTTCATTTATATGTTTGGTTATTACCGAATGCTTCGACTGGTCTAATCTTATATTATTCCGATGTTCTTTGATTCTAGTCTTTAGTTGTCGCTTAGTCTGCCCCACGTATGACGCATCACAATTGTCACAGTTAATTTTGTATATTAAATTATTATTATTTTCATGTTGGTTTTTATCTTTGTGTACTTTTATGAATCTATTGAGTTTATTAACACATCTGTATCCTATCATGTAATCAGTTTTTTTAATCGATCTTGAAATTTTATTACAAATCGTTTTAACATAAGGGAACACTATTAATTGTCTTACTTCATGATCATTAATAGTTTTGTTTATTTTGGATTTATTATAAGCTAACGTTTTGATTCTTTTGTTAATAAATTTAAAAATAAAGTCGATGGGATAACCATTATCTATCAAAACTTCTATTATAAATTCAAGGTTTTTATTATAAAACCTAGGATCTGACAATAAAATAATTCTATCAACTAAGCCAAATATCATTCCTATTTTTTGACAATTGTGATGATTTGAGTGAAATGACAGATATCTTCCTGAAAAAGTTTTCTTGTGAAACCAATCGACTAAGATTTTATTATCTTCATTTATAATCAATAGATCTAAAAAATTCAACTTGTGATTTTCCTCATATTCGATTGTAAATTTAAGCCTGTCATGTTGTTCATTAAACACTTTCAATATTTGAGGTACTGTATCTTTGGAGGCAATTAAAAAGACGTCATCTACATATCTGAAATAAGCAGACAATCGAGGATTAATAAAACAAAGAGCTTTTTCCTCTAAATCCTCCATGACGATATCTGCTATAATAGGGGAAAGAGGGGATCCCATGGGAGTACCAAACGTTTGTTTATAAATAGTTCCATTAAAAGTAAAGTATGTTGAATTTAAAATGAACTTTATAGCATTAATGAATTCTGTTTTTGGAA